TTGTGAAGACATCTTATGTTGTTCCAAATTATGCTAATGTAAAACACTTTCTTACACTGCATAACTATTTTACTGCACTTTTAGAGAAATGATGATATACAAAACCAAGTGCTAGTATGACATTGCCTACGTTCATATGAAGTATTGCATCTAGCCACTAAAACTAACCCTGCCTAATTTTGTCCAGCAAATCATGATCTAAACGCTGAACATCATGACCTGACAAAATTGGTAAGTACCTCAAGACTCAAAAGGAAACTGTCGACAATGCAAAAAAGACTTGAATCATGTCCATCAGCTCAGTATTCAATGTAATTATTTAACACCTGAACAAGTTCTTAACCCTTTACAACCTAACATCAATATCCATATTCTTTACACTCTTCTCTTTACATTTCCTTTGGTACTGACAAGGAGAATTTGTTTAACAATCACAGCTTCCTTTATTCTCATGATCCTAATGAATGATTCAGCAGTATTACTGTAATGAGAAATTAGATGCAGGTAACTCTTAGGGTGTAAAGGACATCCGTTCCATTAATTATCTGTGTATGAATTTAACATGTTTTAAAAACATTGAAATTATTGTATTCTATATACAAGGCTAAAAAAAATTAAAAACCCTGATGATGGCAAACAGCCAAAAACGTTTGGTTTAAACATTTTTTTTTTTTTTTTTTTTTTAGCCTTGTATATAGAATACATTTTACAAAGCGAACATTATGGACATTGAAATTATTGTTGTTAGTTAATCATGCCATATGAGGATGTTGCTTTCTTGGCTTTGACCTTCTTGATAATAACATAAATTATGGTGATAAAAATTAGAAGCATGGGTGTGCCAAAACCAATAAATATAATCAACCACACAAGCATAGAAAAGTCATCTTTAATTGGAGTTCCGTAGCCCACCACTGCAGACCTAAGAAAAATAAAAACAAATGAGCAAACAGGATATAGGATGATTGGGTTCTAGATTACCAGATTTCTGAGAGACAATTAGCATCTACATGTACTGTATGTTGTCACTACAATCCACACAACCTTCTATTGGAATTTGCCTAATACTTACTTCGTACCAAATACAGTTCAACCAGTCACCAATACAAACAGGTCATTTAGACTCAGTCAAGGGTGACCACTTTACAGAGATGAAAATTGCAGTACTGAACTGGAAAAAGTTTGAGACTTTGACAACAGACTGCTGAATACAGAGTGAAAGCTTAATACGCTGCTGCTTAATACAAGCTCCACTCATTCAACAGTTATCACAGATGCTCAATAGAAGTGACTGCTTGATGGAGGTAAAAATTACAGTTCTTAAGGTGGGGGAGGGAATTTTGGGACTTTAACAACTGACCACTGAATATGGTGCTGCTTAACAGGTTTGAATGTATTACCTTCAGACAAGAGTTTTTTTTTATACAACTGTTAATAATAAAGATCATTTGCTAGAGGCCCTCCTGTAAATTATATTTTTTGTTATGCAATAAAACTTGTTTCCATAGAAAGGCTTTACACGGGGCAACAATATGAAAGTGAAGATCATGAAACTGGCAAATGGCTGCTCACATTTGGAAAAACTAACAGATGCTTACAAACTGGAAAGAACACATCATAAGGCCACAAGGAAATGCATTTCACATGCCTTTATCTAGAAGTTTTCCTCAGTAATTGGGTGAACAGATTATAGTTGTATATGATGTCAAAGAGAGATAACAAAGCACTTAAAAAAAATGACCATATCAATAATAATAATAATAATAATAACAGTAAATCAATAGGATTACCATGTGAGATATCTGGAACCCTCTGGGCCATCATACCAGCCATCTTTTTGTTGTCCAAAGGAAATATTCATTTGACTTGATATGAAGTTCCCCTTCAGATGTGAAACTATGCTGATGAAGTCTTCTGTAGAGGATGATGATGGGAGAGTTTGACACTGTTTATTACTGATAAACCGATGCTGATTGCCAAAATATGAAAAAGAAGGGACTTGGTTACTTAGTTTCCTTGACTCTTTCAGGTAGGCTACAGGTTTCCATGCACAGTATGATGAATGACTGCCAAGTGTACTGTTTATGACAATGGTTTTAAAAACAGCTGGAGTGTGTTCATCATCAAGAGACTTTTGAGCTGTAACACAAGTGGAGCTGTCATCCTCAGAAAATGAGACCAATTCAAATATAAATCGAGTATGCCCTTTGTGTTGGAGATTTGTTAACTTATGAAGTGTCAGTGTAAAAACTGTAGAATTGCTGGAGAATTGTTGATGTGGCAATATTGACTCTCTGTCCATGATTGCTGATGCATTGCACTGTAGAAACAAATATAAAAGGTGGTTAATTTTTGTTTCAGTGGCAGTAATAGAGAGAAGGTACTGTTAAGGTAGCAACACAGGAGAACTGTATACTCCCCCGCAGTGAGATCATCAAATCAACCAAGCCAGAGTCAATCTCTGTGCCATAGAATATTACATTATCAACTGAGTTGATGATGTAATTATTAATCAAAAACTTTTGGCTATGAGCTGAGACCCCCTTAGATCCCAAATTTTCATTCACTTCAGTTTTGATTTATATAGAAATTACTCTGCTTATAGTCGAATAAATACGGTAGTTTCAAAGCTGATGTTTTGAGTGTTAGCCCTTTGTCAGAGTGAAGGATGAAGGGCTCATACTCAAAATGTCAGCTTTGAAACTCTTTACAGTGGCCAACTTACACTATCAAATCAATTGCAGCGCTAAAGTTTCTTAAGAACCTTACTCCCTTATGATGTTAGTTTGGATAATTTAATATTGGATCAACTGATAAACTCCTAATTGATATTTTTCTTTATTCTTATCACTTGAAATTCTATCGATATTCTAAGGAGAAATTCTGAATTTGTCAAACATAAGAGTTTAAGGGTTAAACAAAGGGATCAATGTCAGTGTCTGAGCAACTGCATACCTACCCCTCCCCTAACCCAACAACAATTGCCTGATAAAAAGTTAGGGTTAATGTTGGGTTAGTGAGGGGTAGGTGCACATTTGTTTAGATACTAACACTGATCCATTATTTTAACTATCATTAGTACTATTATTACTATCATCTCTTACCTGAAAAATAACTGTTCCTCCCAACATTTTCCCTGTAAAAGTTGTCACATTGTTTTTGTGATCAATTTCAGGTTCTTCCCAGTGTGTTACCTCATCCTGGAAGCCATGTTTCACAATAGTGTTCACAACATCTTTCTCAGTGTAAAACAGTTCATCTTTTTTATCCTGAAACTCATAAATAGCTGGAATAACAAGTGCTGTGATGTGAAGACTTGTTTGTGTAAATGTAATTCCCTTTGTGGAATTGTTATTCAAGACATGGTTCCAATCAATTGATACATTAACATCTATACTGTCAAAGTAAGCTGCAATGATAGTTGGAGAACCAATGACAGACCAGAGGTAGTGCATGGAATTCTGTTTATCTGTACTCTCGGCAATAACATGAATGATGTAAGTTGTGTTACTGCACTCTGTTATATGTGTTGGGCATGGTATGCTTTTAATGGTAATCTGCAAAGAAACAAAAATTTTATGGAATATTTAAGATGTGGAACAAGATTCTAAATTTTAGAATTTTGAATTTCTTTGTGCTGTTAGTATGCATCAACTTTTCTTGGAAATTTCAAATGAAATTACCATTTAACTCCCAGAGATGATCACCTTGTAAATTCTCCCTTAAATAGTCAGACATTAATTATCCAGAAAACATGTAATGGGAAGACTCAAACTTATCAGGTAGAACTAACACCAAATTCTTGTCACTGATTTACGAAGAAATGTGTAGCAGCTTGAGGGGAGAATATATGATCAGATCTTGAGAGTTAAAGGGTTAAGTGTAAGTATATCTATTAAATATAACTCCCACTAATTAGCTTTGTCACTTACATGTTTGTGTATAGTCTTTACTTTTTTCTCGATGGATTTAATGTTGAGCTTCTTTCAAAAATTGGCTAACACATAAGGCCACAACTTTTCATCAAATTTTTGCAAATTTTTTTAAGAGCGACATTCTATATGAATGTTTGTTTTTTATATGACATCTATTAAGGTTTTCTCTTTCAAACAACTGGTTTGTCAAGTAGATTTGTCTTCTAGGATTTATATACGATATATATGTACTCGAGCTCGTGGTCCATTCCGCTTAGGAGTTACAATTTGCAAGTGATAATTATCGTCAAAATGTGCCCAGGTAATGTCCCTCCGGTTTCACATGCTATCTTAACGTTTGTGCAAACTGCTTGTCTGTTTATCGTAAAGAGGACTACAAGTATGTTATCTGAGAAATTATGAACGACAGTCAGAGCCAATGCAAGCCTTCGTTGATTCAGGACTAAAATGTTTCAAAACACCATCCAGACCACAGAAAAGTTGCATCTATATGCCCATCTTACCTTCCTTTGCTGATCCTTAGGCACAGTCGCTGATGATAAACAAAGAACGGCAACAAAAAATATAAGAAACCTTCTAAGAAATTCAACATAGCCCGCCATGTTGGGAACCATTTCCTCACGAAAGAGGAAGTCATGTGATTGTCATGACTCTGTTCCGTCATTAGTAGGGTGGTAAGAGTCAGGACGGTGGGGGGGGCGTATTAGGGAAAATCATAGTAGTTTTGCTTTAAAAGGATATATCAAGGAAAGGTACAACAACGCCTTTTTAACAATTGGCCGGTACGTTTTCTTTTAATAAAATATAAAAAAAACGAATGGAATTATAAAGAAATGCCTCTTACTTTTTCATTATTTTGTCCGCATTGTTTCTGCCGAAATGCAAGCTCGTTTTTCTAGCCGTAATATATGGTCCTATATTCTTTTGTCGCGAGAATATAATTTTTTAGAGCCACTTTTTTTTTGTCACGAATGTCTGGCTAGTTAAAAACAGGCACATGGACATGTTTTATGAAAATCTGATTTTTTCCCAACATTCTATTTGGTGGTGGCACATCTGTGTGCAAATTAATGGCCGGAAATTTATTATCGGCTTCGACAAACGAACACTATTGCAGTATTTCACGTTTTAAATATGCGCTCGTTTTAAAACATCCGGAAAATGTATCACCAGCCAGCTTTTATGCTGTCTGTTAACGAAGTAAGTTGCTGCTTTATACGAGAATGGCAAAAAGTGATTTTAATTTTTACATGCTTGGGTACCATGTCTACCCTCTGGTAATTTAGTGTTAACAACTGAGTTGAAAACGTAAATTGACCACTGTAAAGAGTTTAAAAGCTGACGTTTCGAGCGTTAGCCCTTCGTCAATTGCTCCGACGAAGGGCTAACTCTTGAAACATCAGCCTTTAAACTCTTCTCAGTGGTCAATTTACGTTTTCAACTCAGTTGTTAACACTAATTTACCGTTTATACTCTCCCACCGACGCAGCACCATAGTTTCTTTAGAAACTCACCCCCTTTATTCATAAGTCTACCCTCACTTTGACCAAGCTGAGGTGATCTGTTCATACCTGACAGGAAGGATCAAGAAAAGATTCAACTAAATAACGACAAACAAGACCTCAGTTGTAGTTGGTGGCTTATTTCTAGCTGTCTCGCATTTGTTCGGCAGAAGAGCTGAAGGCATTCTGTGAGGAAGACTGAAATATATACAAATGAAAGCGCAGCATGGAGAGAGGTGAACAAAGCTTTGTTTTTCCCGTAGTCTCTCCCTCTTGATCCGCCCCACTGATCTCTTCCAATGCACATCTCAGTAAATTGAGACAAATTCAAAACGAAACGATAGACGGTTGAGTTGCAGGTAGAAAATGTCATCATCCACACACGGCCCAAAAATTGTTTCCCTTTTTTATTTATTAGATATTAAATCAAGAAATTTTCAACAATATTAGCATTACACCGCAGACAGCTTTTATTATCTATGTGGGAAGTATTGAGTTACTTACTTTGATCAGTCACAAAATGTTATTATAACCTATTATCATTATTTAAAATCAAGAGGAAAAACAACAAAAACTATTTACAAAACATTGTATATTAGGAAAATGATAAAATAAACTTTGAGTATCTATCGAAAAAACATTTTGCCTTTCCGCCGAGAAGTGAAATCGACATAGTTCCGTCGGCCCCTCGAATTCCAGAACTGTAAATCAACACATTTTTGCCTCAACACACTCTGGAATTCACTCTCTGGCCTCTAGATCTTACATCTATGTTTTGAAAATGATTTAAATAGTTGTTTAGGCCTCGTTTAAACTCTTCAAGTATTGGTCAATATGCATGCGATCAGTAAGTCATGTAGTATGCGCAAAAGTACATAAAATTATTGTTATTATTATTATTTTTGTTGTTGCTATTATTACTAAAATAAAGGCTAAAAGAAGGTGAGTACGCCTTTTAGAGGTCGATCGAGGACTATGGAAAGCGGATAGCTGAAGAAGGACGGTTTTCTCTTGTATCAGCTGCGAACAAAATTCACAATGGGTTCAGTTTTGCACCAAAATGTCACCCTGAGGTACTTGACTTACTGTTTTAGGCAGTAGGGATGAAATTTTTGTGAATCATTCATAATGTTTCTTAACTTAAGCACAGTACAACGGTCGATAGGTTAGAAGCCTTATTTCACTTTATTTTTGTGTAGCTTTTACTTTTTCCCTCGCTATGTTCATCACCACGCCCCGAAGAAGCACAGTCCTAACAATGATTGACCACTATTCCACCGAAATAAATACGTTACAGACTCCCTAGAAACTCCCAGAAAAACTTCTTTAGTAAGAAACTGACAATATGAAATTAATAATTCAACGTAGTTACCAGTATTCTTGAAAAGTTTACTGCGAAATGCCCTGTTCTTTTGAACATTTTTTAAAATATTAGTGAAATTGCCACTCTTACGGATACTGGTTTTGTTGTTTTTAACTATCTAGTATTTTCTCAACTGCTTATCGTATAAGTAAAACCTTTAAAAAATTCTAAAGAAATTACATTGTCGTCATTTATAAATCAGTTCATGTATCTCGTCCAGAAATTATGATGAATCAAACGGTAAGGTCTTTAGTGGTAACGGTCACGATCTCCACAAAAGTGCCCCAGTCTCTTGCATTTCTCACACAAGTGCTGAGGGTGGTGTTTAGAGGTATCTCCCTTGTCTAGCCCGTCAGGTTTATGCAGTGGACGCTGCGTGTGTGGGTACACCACAATACTACAATTCTGACACTGCTGACCAGTGTTAGCCCAGCTGTTGGCGCTCATCCACCCACGGTTACACTCAGGACATCTGTATTCTCCAAAGCAACGCCTACCCCCTTGGTATGGTGTCTGTCGTAAATATAAGCAATGGAATGTATAGTTAAAACCTTGACACGTTATTTTTATTCGGCGCTCTTCTTGTGAAGGTATCAGTTAATACCACTACTTCTGAATTCAGGTTACACTTTTTAAGACTCAACTTGTTCACTCGATAACGATACCATAAGTAGAATATACTGACAAAACATTCACAAACTCCCGTAAATTGGTATAAGACATACACAGAAACATATGCCACATCACACTTTATAATTACATCGTAGCCACTTTTTCTACCGTCAAGTGACGATAGCCTTACTGAAGAAAGGATTGTTTGCATAGCGTCTTGGCTAAATCAGTCAGGCAAAATTTCATAGGAACAACTTTAATGTTATAATGAAAATCTGCTTTATGAATTTGCTTTCGTTAGGAAAACTTCTTTTCTTGTCAAGAAGAAGAGTAACCGAAAGTAGGAGGCCCCTGCCTAAAGCTAATCTTTCTTGCATGGAGGAATTTTCCACTCTACGATCGTTTAATTCTTATTCCCCTGCTATAGAGTCACTTAAAAGTCTTGATCTGTGATTCTTAGCTCTCGCTGACAGTCCGGAGTTCGACCAATTGGCTTTTCTAGTGGACATTTTTAGATCATGTTACCAATACTGAAGCAAGCTACAAATATCTTATTAATTTTTTAAAAATTGTTGGAGATTTTCGCATCTCACTGAAAATGAACTAAAAGAACCATAATGAAGTGAACATTCTGTCTTCTACATTTATCTTTACCAGGTCGTCACTTCCAAACGGCCGGGGTTTTGTCATATACATTCTGCCAAAGTGATTTTCCAGTCGGCCGTCGATGAGAAAACGTGTTTTATCTCGTATTTGGGTTCGCCAGTTCATATGTTCATTTCACTTCTCCCTAACGTATTCCGCTTTGGCAAAGGAGTCTGTCAGATGATATCGGATCCAGAGGGTTTTCAGTTATGAATAAATGCAAAAATTTAGCAAAATTGTCTTTATAAAAATGTCACGAAGCGCGGAGAGTTCATCTGAAATACGGAAGTGACATTTCATCAAACCAGCTACCACCGAAAGCCAAAGCAAGTTCGGTTAGAACATAGTATTACCATTAACTTAAAGTAATTTAAAACCATCAGAATACGAATGGTAAGTTAGACATAACAATCCGAAATCGAACTCCTCTTCTTAATTCTCAACTAGACACAGTGCATTATTCCTAAGCCTTATTGACTTGACCGAAATCTCTGAATTTCGCTCAAACACTTACCTTTCCACTCGACATATTTCGACGTTGAGAACTGAAAGTTCAGAATTTAAAAGTGATTTTGGAAAACCACAGAAACCTCACACAGAATCAGTGAAATATTTAGTATAATGAGGAACTGTGTGAATGCACAATCCCACTAAATGTTGCATTATCCAATGAGAAGCCATTTCCTGACCGGAAATGTTTACAGGTACACGAATTTTCCAATCAGAAATAAGGAGACCCACATTTCTCGGAAAGCTCTTAAATTCTTAGAACTTTCACGATTAATTTAGTTTCAGGTCATTTCATAGGCGGCCCAAGGTCCAGCTGTGAAATGATCATCTTGCAAAATAGGAGTCATGGCGAAATTATAAGATCTAGAGTTTGTACGAGAATATTTACGACCGCTCTCAGGAATAAAAAAATACAGACATATTCTCAATAAAAATACCTCACCTTACTTCCACAGTACATCACTTGTTATCTGACCGCTTACAGGAGTCTCCTGGGCTTTTGCCGCTTACTATGTTGAAAAGAAACCCATTCAGGCGAGTTTTACCACATAAGAGAACACTCCTGAGATTTCCGGATGCCCGATCCGAGAAGCGAAAAATTCAAGCTCAAAAAGACCGGGAGGCCACAATTCCAACGCAGAATCCAAGCACATATACGATAGTTTCATTTCAATTCACTACAAATTCAATCTTCCCCGTGAAACCGACGCCAAGCCGCATTTCCAGTTCAGCCATTTCTGACGGCCCGCGTACACATTCACCACGACAAAGCTTGGTAACCCTGTCTTCTTTACAAAGTGTGCTTAGCCGGGTACCACACCACTACTTGTCACCCGTGGTTCTCGATGCTAACTGACGGTGTGGTCCCTGGCGAGGTTCAGTTTGCAAAGGAGGCAGAGTTACGAAGCTGGTTGTCGGGGTGTATGTGTACGCAGGCCGTTATTGCTTTCATATTCACGTCTTTATCCGCACTCACATATATGATTTTCATGGGTCATGGGTTCATATCCCGTACAGGCCCGAGTTTTTTTCGTCAGGCCTTATTTTCCAAAATTTCTGTGCATAAGATGCCTTCAATCCATTCTTCTAAAAGAAAACTGACTTTCTTTGAAAGTCTGATTGACTCACCCGAAATGAGTAAATTTATCTTATCTTGGACGAAAGAAGACGAGATTAGCTGCTATTTTCTCTTATTTAGCCTATTTCTCCCAACTAGATTCTGAAATTTTATGTATGCAATGCATTTCAAGTTTTTTTCTTTCTTCCCAGCGATAATGCTCTTCTGTAGGAACAACTTCTCACGCAACCCAAGATAGTTTTGTCCAAGTTTGATCAAGAGAAAATGCGTACTTGTACAATGATTACAAGGAAACACGACAGCGATCGCCTTTAATACTGCACACCCACATCGCATTTCTCTTAATCGCCGGTTTATAGCAAACAAACACTGATTACATTTGTGCTTAGTTAGCAACAGAGACAGCCAGAGAGGGAGTTTCTACGTAAAGTAAATTCACCGATGAATCTACTCTAAGGTTTTGTTTATCTGAGTGCCAAGGAAAGATGGTTCATTTGTCGTTAAACAAACGAAATAACAAAGACACAATGTTGGATTTCTTTCTGAAACACTGAGACGAAATGCACTGGAATTTGCAGAATGCTCGAGCACAGAGCAGTCAAATCAAATTCATAACTGTATTTTATTAAAAATCCTTGCGCATTACAAAACACACTGAAGAGAGACTGGTGCTAATCTTCCCTTTCCACGTTGAAGGGCTCATCAACCTCAATAACTCCGCAATCTGCGATCTTCACCTCTTTCTTTGGAGTACTCCCGTCCACTTCTACGTTTTCTACCTTGCGTACAACATCCTGTGAGAATTATTTTAAGAACAGTGCAATTGACTTAGTAACTGTTTTGGCGAGCATTGTGTAAGATACGCTAAAAACATATTACATATAGTCATTCTCCTAGTAACTTGTAAGTGGGACGTTTGGTTGGTAAGAATCTAGCACGAAATATATTAAAGTTCACATGGTAACCAGGTGGACAATTAGACAAGGTTTAATGCTACTCTAGTTTACAAAACCAGAGTAGCATCAAACCATGTCTAATCTAGCATGAGTAATTGCCCTCATAAGACACATTTACAAGGGATATCTTGAACTCCAACATCACAGTGACACAATTGACAAATAAAAATCCACTTTGGTACCAGAATTTAACTTTCCTAGTGTCTCAGACTCGTTACAACCTTCCTGGGAATAGCAATTATTAGGAAAAAGAATCGGGGAATTGGTGAGGTTAATTGATAGAGCAACTTTCAATTGAGGTTAAGAAATCCAGGATTTGTTTGTGTTTGCTTTACTTCTCCCTGAGGTTGGTCCAAAAAACTCGTACCACTTTCTCTACCAGTCAGATGCAAAACTAAAACCAATCACTGCTTGGTCGTCAGCATTTTCCAGGCTGCACTTAACGCAGTTAGGTTGTGTTACTGAGAGATGTCATTGGCTCTTGAAGGTATTATCCTTTTTTTTAATTGGCTGTTATGATTACTGGTTTTATGACACTCAATCGAAAAGATCTCTGAATTCTTCAGTTTGATCACAATTCTGAAAAAATTTCAAAATTCTGAAATTCTAAAACGTTGTTCTTCAAAGAAAACAATAATATATATTTCTGAACTCACCATTCCTTCAAGAACTTTCCCAAAAACAACATGTTTGCCATCCAACCAGCTAGTTTTTACAGTTGTGATAAAGAACTGTGAGCCATTAGTATCTTTACCAGCGTTAGCCATACTCAGCCAGCCTGGACCATAATGCTTCAACTTAAAGTTCTCATCATCAAATCTATCACCATATATGCTTTTACCTGGTTGATAGGTAAAGAAAGATTATTTTTCTCAAAAGTTTAATTAGGAAAAACATTCAAGACAGAGTAAAAGATTATAAGGGCCATCATTGGTCTGATGTTTGGATTGAGTGGGGTGGGGTGCAAAAAGGGTAGGTGGGGGGGAGGCAAGGGTGAGGAAGGGGGGGGAAGGGTGGTGTGGAGTCTGAATGGACTGGTCTTCATGCAAGCCTTCCAATGTCCTCACAGATGTCTCATTGTCATGCTTTACAACTATCATAGTTTAAAGTGTCAGGAAGGGTTTATGCCAAAACATTTATCCTCTACATTTGGCAAGGTTACTTTTCCTTCTTAACCCTTTAACTCCCATGAATGAGAAAGACAGAATTTCTCTTTCAAATATCAGTACAATATCAAGCAGACAAGTGATGAGAATAAAGGAAAATATTAATTGGGGATTATGGGTTGAGCCAATACCAAATTCTCCACAGTAAAAGTGTAAGAATTGCATGACTGTGACAAGCAGCAAGGAAATAACAAATTAGATATTGGGAGAAAAATGGTTATAAGATCTAAAAAAGAACAGCTACAGGGTTTTGCATTGGATACGAGGTTGAAGAACTGAAGTGTTATCCTGGATTCTTATCATTAATTCCACTTTCAGGTTTACAACTAGCTGTGTTATCAGCCTTACCTCCAGTTCCATCTCCTTTTGTGAAGTCTCCACCTGAACAAAGAAAACATTTTTTATCTTTTCATAAAAGCATGATTTTCATTACATTACTATTAAAGTGATAAATTCCTCTTGTATGTTCCAGGATTAAGAGAGAAGTCTTATTTCATCTTTGTTTAATGCCAAAACAGAAACTAGCATGGTGGAACAGCAAGGTGGTCACACAAACTGGGATGAGCTATGGTGGTTCTATTTACCGTAAAATGTTCTCACTATACAGCATTCCCTAGCATGGCATAATTCATGAAGAAATGTTTTTTACCAATTTCTATTCAAATGTGTCATGCAAAAGATGTTTCTCAAAATTATATTTATGACAGATACTCCTTTAACCCTGTAACTCCCAGGATCTGATTGTTAATTCTCCCCTCCAGCTGCTACACATTCCTTGTAAATAAGTCACAAGAATTTGGTGTTAGATCAGGACCACCAACCTTTACCTGATAAGTTTGAATATCCTCATTACATGTTGGCTGGATAATGTATGGATATTATGGGGAGAAGTTACATATTAATCACTTTTGGGAGTTTGACGGTTAAGGGAGAACTGAAGTCCAAATTGATGCAATTTTTTTTTTCATCATAGATTGAACAGTTACATTAAGGAGAGCACTTCAGTCAATATGCTGGAAATTTACTAATGGCTATAGGTTCTACCTTGTTAGAAGTAGTGTACAAATCAGTGCTCTGGGAGATAAAACAAATTATATGGAAGTTCTAAAATGTGTTACCTTGAATCATAAAATTATGAATAATCCTGTGAAATTTACTTCCTTTATAGCCAAATCCTTTCTGAAACAAAAGAGCAAAAAACCCTATTTTACTTGCAAATCAAACAAAAATAATCCCATTATTTACAGAAAGATTTTTAATACCTGAAACTCCTAAGATCATCATACAATTTTAAGTATCAACCCTTTCAATCCTATGTGTGACCAAGACTACATTGCTCCTTACAGAGTCAATATAAAATCAAGCAGACAAGTGATGAAAATAAAGAAAAATATCAATTAGAAGATTATTAGTCGATCCAATACCAGCTTCTTCACACCAACAACACAAATTGTATGGAAAAAAACGAGTATTTCTAACAAGATCTTGGTTGTGTAAGGGTTAAGCTAATTGACACAGCTCTTACATATGACTTCTCCATTCCCAGAAAGTAAACCCTAGGCCTCATTTGCACCACTTGAGGCTTGTCAATGTTCATGTTGTTCTCACATGGGAATTATTTTCATCTCATTGTTTTAAGGAATTGATGCATGAGGTCTATTAAGTGAAATCAACTGACCATCTTTTATTCTCTTAAAAAAAATTAAAAAAAAAAACTTAGGCCTTGTTCTCCAATATTTAACAGCAATTTTCATGACACATTTTCACTTTGAGAAATAAAAGACAAGTGACAGGAAACATAGTAGCTACCAACGGATCACAGAGAAAACAAATAAAGAATTGCTGGAAGAACCGTTAGCATATGGAAACCTTTATTCAAGATGAGTAAATTTTTACCTCTCCAGAAGCTAGAGCTGCAAAATTCTTAGTGGTTTTCGGCACAGTTTTTCCAAACAAACCAATCACAATTCTTCCCACATCTTTATCTCCATGTGTAATGTCAAAATAAACCTACAACAATAAATTAATGTACCATTAATGTAGTTACATAACTTTTACAGTGAAGTAAATCCAGTGAAGCAATTGATGAATTATAATCAGTAAGGTATTTAAAATCCCACCCTTTGTTATAGGGGTTTTGTTGGTAGGATTAAAGTATATTTATTTCTGTACTGTAGCATGTGTTACCTGACTTTTCCCCGAGCTACATCTTAAGTGACCATATCTTTGTATGTGAAAACAAGTCATAATGTGCTTGGTATGTGAATGGGCCAGCAGTAATGTTTTTATTTTGACATGCTCTTCAATTTGGAGGGATGGCAAAGGAAGGTGCCTGATCCTGTCTAGCACACACATTTAAGCACATGTCACATTTGTTTCATGCATCACCAATTTAAAAGGGAAAGCTTCATATCTCTTCTGTGTGTGAGGTTTCAGGGAAATCTTTAGGTTTTCAAGGAGATGAAGATAAAGTTCGCAGGTCACATATATTAATCACACTTGCATTACAGTAAAATTACTAGTGTCATGCTATTAATTTTGGCCTTAATCACACATCATGAATAAACTATTTGCCACCTTCTGTTGGCTTTTGATTCTACAACTATTTCAATGAATCACCAGAGATGTTTAAGAGATTTCAATATATCTTCACATCTAGAGAAAGGCTTTGAAATCCTAAGTTTTGAGTATTTGACTTGCAGCTAAGTTAGTTACCTCTTCAAGCCCTACCACTTATATCATATTAAAGGGTTTGATCTGTTCAGGGGTTTATGCAGAGGAGTACATAGGAGGGTCAAATAGGAGATGCTCTTGCAGAAGAGACATCAATAAATCTGCACAGGAAACCATCTTAATAAATAGGATATGCACATCTCTCTCTGTTCACTAATTTGCGTCTACCTTTGCTTCTACATTCATAGCTGCTGACCGACCTTTTAGCTTACGACAAATTATCCATTACTAATAAAAACTATACTCAGTTGTCTGTTATTGAGTAACAAATTGTATGTGCGGTAAAAATAGTAAGACCAATTCATCGGATTTGTATCAGAGTTTAAGATGAGTAAGCAAATTCTGATATTGTCTCTGCTGTACAAAATGTCTTCCCTGCTTCCAAGACGGAGAAAAACCTATTCACTGGTTGTTTAGTGTACTATACTGAAGCTTCTAAACAGCAATGGAGTATGTACTCACCTTTTGCGTGACCAGTGGACCTTTCTTCGTTTTTCCAG